CACCTTTATATCTACTGGTAGTATCATGTCACAAACCAGAACTTAGATTATGCTATGCTAAGACAAAATGTCCATATTGTCTCAAATAAGTTATTGTAGATTGTTTCATGTTTTGTCAAAAAAGGGGGGGGGCTTAAGTATCAAGAGTGACCCAATGATTTTAAGAGATGTGTTATTAATTAATGCAGTGTTCTTTTTTATACTCTTCTTCTGAATTATGAAAATAGCATCCTGGCTTTATCAACTTCCTGTCTTACTTTAGACAATATTTCTTAACAACACCTTGGTCAGTTACAGATATATACAAAAGCAATGTTTTGCACTCATTTGTCTTCAGGATTTGGGGTTTTTAGAGTAATTTGAACAAGTTTTCCACACCCTGCCCACAGGAGAGGCTGTTTAGGGGTGGAAATGTTTAGCTTTTATTAAAGCACACACCCAGTGTTATGGGTGTTGTAGGAGCATTTAGGAACATGACTTAACAAATTGCAAAAACATACACTACGGCAGACCCAGATGTGGTCATTGGTCACACTTTTATCCAATGGTGTACAGAGGAAGGACTAAAAGTGACCTCCCTGTTTGTGTTTGTCCTTTTAATGATCACCATGGCTCTAAATAAACGAAGCCTCGTCACTTGGTATCATTTTAAGTTCATAGTTTAGAACATCTCTTGTCACTCCTTTGTTGCTAAGCCAAGGCCAGGAAACCTCCCTAAGTAATCAAAGTAAATACTGTTCTTACTAGCCCCTTTTCCAGACATTCACACTCTGCCCATTCTATTACAACTGCCTCTGGTGAGGCAAGCTTGCCAGACATCCCCTGTTCAGAGAGATGCCCCATATTATAAAACATCAGAACGCAATAGAACATAATGAATTTCCACACTTTTCTGGAGCATAAATTCATGCACAGCAACTCTAAAGTGACAGCTCCCCCCCCCCCCATTTTGAAAGTCTGAAACCAATTAATTCAAACGAAATAAATCCATTTTTTCCTTTTTAGCCAGGAAAAATATTATTGTGCGTTACTCATATTTTTCTCCTGCTTTCCTCCAAAGAGTTCAGAGTGGCTTATGTGAGTTTGTTGTATTTTATTGTGGCATTAGCCTTGTGAGGTGGATTAGGCTGAGTTGGTATGGTTTGCAATTCAGGTATTAATTTGAAGTTTGATGAAACGGAATGAAACAATCCAGATTAGGAACATCAATTGGAGGGGAAAGTACTAGTTTATAAATGTTCCCTTTGGTATCTGCGTATACTAGTATCTGGATTTTATTGCAATAAATATTGCATTGACTGTCCTGCTCCCATAGTGCAAGCATTTCAGAGAAACTGCTGTCTTTTTGAAGCTGTTATGCCCATATTGTACAGATGTGGTTGGTGAAATTAAGCCAAATTGTTCGTTTTGGTTAGCTATATCCAGTGCATCCAAGCAGCTGTTGGAAGGAGGTTTGCAGAACTACTCTTCACCACCCCACCACCCACCACCCTCCAAAAAAATATATGTTTCTAACAGCAGGGAATTTTACATTGTACATGCTCATGTTCTTTATATAACATGAGTTCATATCTATTTATTGAAAAGTGATGCCTGGGCTCAGAAGGTATGCTGGGGTGTTGCTAAATGGTCAAAGCTAGAGAAAGAAAAGTAGGATAGCCAGATAAAAAGCACCTGTAAGATGTTTTTTACCTGAAGCACTAGCTTTTGGTCTCTCTCCCAGCCCAGTCTTAGTCTGTAGGCCACTCAAATGCTTAACAGCTTCTGTTCAGAAGTTTTTAACATATGAGAAGACTCAGAAACTTCAGTAAAGGTGGTATGAGAACAGGTAAAATAGTTTCTGCGTAATCAGAGTATGCAGCAAGGAAGTGTTCAGTATTTGTTCAGTAGTTCTGACCCATACAAGTGCTAGTCGTATGCTTTCTTTTCAGATAAAGGTAAAGGTAAAGGTACCCCTGCCCGTACAGGCCAGTCGTATCCGACTCTGGGGTTGCACGCCCATCTCGCTTAAGAGGCCGGGGGCCAGCGCTGTCCGAAGACACTTCCGGGTCACGTGGCCAGCGTGACAAGCTGCATCTGGCGAGCCAGCGCAGCACACGGAAACGCCGTTTACCTTCCCGCTAGTAAGCGGTCCCTATTTATCTACTTGCACCCGGGGGTGCTTTCGAACTGCTAGGTTGGCAGGTGCTGGGACCGAGCAACGGGAGCGCACCCCGCCGTGGGGATTCGAACGGCCGACCTGACGATCGGCAAGTCCTAGGCACTGAGGTTTTACCCACAGCGCCACCCGCGTCCCTCTTTTTTCCCCCCCAGGTATCTTTTCAGATACCTGAATCAATTTCTACATCTGTCCTCTTTGCAGTCAGCAATTCTACATTTGTTCAAGAGAGACATGGAAACCCACAATTTTCAGGAATAACAAACACATGGCTTTGCAGTGCTCTGAATTTGAGGCACCTCAGAATTTTGAGAGAGAACTGCAATTCTTTTGCCTGAATGACTTGCCCAAGGCCAGCCTGGTGGCATGTGATGGAACACAAATTAAAACCTAGAGGATTCATGCATGTTTGTTCAAACCTCAATGACTTATTCCCTAGGCCATCTCCTACACTCTAGGGAGTTTTTCAAACAAATTCCCTGCAGATCAGTGAAAAAAAATACACACACCTCCGCTTTCCCCTTGTTTCTGATCATGTCACAACCTTAACAGCAATACTTGACACCAGTGAAAAGTTACATCATGGATTAAATAGCATAGGTTTAGCATAGGTTTTATTTTATTTTATTTATTTGCAAATACTTTAGCAGTAGATCCCTTACTTTAATGGGAAACTGAAAGAAAAAGAGATGAAAAGCATATGGATATGAAGATGTTTGGATTAGCAAATGTTGAGTAGAGCAACTTCAAGGTGATACTGTTATAACGGGACTATATGGTTATCACAGGCATTGTCTGTAATATTGGTAGATAGGAAGGAGTGGTATGGGAGCAATTTATCAGTATGTATTACAATGATCAGAAAATCAAGTTCCATATTTGTCATTTGATACGGATTTCCGCACTACAAACCGAAAGATAAAAGGGACAAGGATATTTCTCCAGCCAGTAAAAGACCTGGCCTCTTGGCTCAAAGTATGACTGTAAAAGTTAATCCATGTGCTGATGCTATTGTATTATTTTATTGCATAGCAGAATATGGAAGGTTTGCTATAACAGAGCCTTGTGAAGTGAAACTACTTATTCCAGATAAAGCACCACCCCTTTCAGATACAGAGTGTTGTTGTTGTTGTTGTTGTTTGAATTCATATCCGCATATCTCTTACAGCTCCCGCTGCTTGGGAAGCAAATTTAAGTGCCAGCTTTATATGCATTGGTAACCCCATATTACACATACAGTTTTACAGAAAATGAAACTTTAATATGATTCAGCACAAAATGGCACTCAATGGCAATAAGTCAGATAATCTTCATATGCACATAGCTTGATCTCACGGACTTATCGCTGCAAGCACAGTGCCGCGTAGCAAATTTCCCTGCAATACAGTACAGTACCTGGGTGTAATTACGGGCACATTTTGCCAGTGCGACTGTTACACAGAATTGTAATTAATTCCTCAGAAGATTACTGTGAGAATTTTGGATACCGATGCCGGTTTTGGACATTTATTACTGCTCTTTAGTTGGTTTTTTGCTGTGCCTCAGAGACAGATGTAAAATTAGTGTCTGTTTTGAGCCAGCAAACAGTACGTCTTACCCTCCTGTTTATTGAATTGCAGAGCGGAATTTTTTGGGCTCCCACTTCTTTGTGGTTTCGAAGTAATACTCTGCTTATTGTGCCAACTGGGGTGCTCCATTACATGTGCAAAAAATTTCAAGAGGCTCGAGAAAAAAAGGCGCTAATTTGACCTAATGCAAAAAGGGCATCAGATGAAGTTTGGATGCTGGGTGGCCAGAGGCGAAGGAGAAGACAGCTCCTGTACCTTTAAAGGCCACGTACTAAGGGGAATTTCAGCATGTGCCTGCATTCCTAGGCATCACATTAGAAACTGCACCTGACAAAATTCTCTTTTCCCCATGAATGAAGGGACTTTAAAGGTACAGATAATAGTTACTCTATTCTCCATTGAACCTTAGTTACCCTATAAATAGGACACATTGTATAGGAGGGCTTTTATTTCTCAGTGTCAAGTGAAGCATCATGGATCATAATGGCAAACAAAAACAAAAAAAAGAGTAAACCAGTCCAAATCATGGTTAGAGAGCACTTCATTATTGAGGGAGAAGCCCTTGTTTAAACTGGGAGATAAGCTGTATCGTTGAGATCTGCTTGTACTTATTTCAAGGCCTGCTTGTCCAAATGTGGTGGAGGAGGAAGGCGGGGGATGAGAAACCTTTCATTTATTTGTTTTAGATCCAGCATGTACAAACTATTCCCTTGTATACTTATTTCTTCCCGCCAATAAATAAATAAATGGACAAATAAATAAATGAGCGAAGAAGGGCTGTTTCCCACAGCTGCAAACAGACAGGTATACTCCAGGGATGCACACACGAAAAAGGGGGCATTAATGAACGTGTACTAAGGGGTGCAGTTCACCAAGCACAGCTGTTCCTGCAACACAACTTCCATTCATTTCAGTAGTGTGTGGTGGAGTTGCTTTGCAAGCCCCATTGAAAGGAATGGAAGAAGAAACAGCAGCAGCAGCAGTAGCTGATAGGATTGTGGCCATACTCATGTTTAGAATTTTAGCCAAATCCACCATGCTTCCCATATAGGTAATATTTATTATATCTAGTTCAAGTCGGGAGGGATATACAAAAGGGTGAGGAGAGAAAGGCTGTGTTACATTGACTGGCACTCTGAGCTCGTGCGCCTGGTCGGAAGATGGCAGAGATCTTCCATAAGTGAAGTTGACAGCAGTTGTTTATTCAGTTCAAAAGTATTTACTACTATTTGTGAGAGAGGACCCTAAAGGTTGGGAAGTATTGTTGGCCTCCG